GAGTGATAAGAAAAATGATTTACTCCTAGAAACTTGTGGATATCTGCATTCTAAAATGAGAGATGAATTATTGTTCTGTGCTCCCTAGCACAAGTCATTCAGTTTCATAGTGAGTCATACATTTTCAAACCAGGTTTCCTTCTAAGGACAGCCTTTGGTCTCCAATAGGTGCTGGATTTAATTATTTCTGATAGTAAAACTCAGCAACCAACATGAATCTGGCAGCTCATACTGACTGGTCCATCAAACAAATAGGCCAGGAAGGCTCAGTCAAGGCAAAGCTCACAGGAAAAAACAAATTAACAGAAAACTAAATGTTACATGTGTTATATCTCTGAAGAATATTGCAAGTGGAATGGTGCTGGAAATAGCTTGTTTTCCCCACTAAGCTTATTCGGAATAACCAGGATTTATTTATTTATTTATTTATTCCTAAGTTCTAAGATTTCCAGAAAAGTTAAAATATAATGTTCTGAATAGTGGGTACAGCTTGAGGGCATCATCCTTTCTGTATTTCTACAGAAAGTTGTTGATTCACCTAACACTTATTTGAAGCACCTTTATATCTTTTCATAACAAAAAGTCTAGATTTACAAATATTTCATTTAAATTATTGAGTGGATTAATTAAGGACTTCACATTATCAACAGCACACAGGTAATGTTATTCAATGTACTACAATTATTAAATATTAACAATTACGTGTAGTATGTTTTCTAGTGACTTGCTACGATAAATTGTTACAAACTAATGTAAATTTATTTTCAAATTCCTGATTATTCAGTGATTGCTCATTGAATTAATGCAAATTGTTTTAATTATTTTCCTTTCTATTCTTGGTTTTTACCCTTCTTATTGGTGCTAACTATTGGTTTCTTCTGTAATTCCTAAGCTGCATGTATTCAGTATTATTCAACTGCAATAAGAGGATCGACCAACTCAAAAGAAAACTCACTTAGCCTAAGACTTTTTTGGATTATGATCAGCTATTTGTATTAGAGAGCTCACATTCACAGAAATGCCCTCAGTGAGCACCAGATATAACTTTGTATATCCTTCAACAGCTCATTATATTCTGTACTGTTTTCTAAGATATTTGTCATTGTCACAAAGTAAACAAACTTAATCCCAGAACTCTGTGTCCATTATTGAAAAATAAACAAACAAAAAAAAACACTGACAAAGTTGTCTTCCTTTCTTCAGAATTCATCGGTTTCCTTGGACGTCAGATAGAAGGCACTAAAATGCATTCAGAGCTTGATGATAGAGCATTTTAATAATAAAGCCAATTTCCAGATGCTCAGTTTTCAATAGTAGAGTTCCCATCATTGTACTACATTCTTCCACATGTTTGAATTTCAAGCAAGAAATCCAAGTAGACTTGGATTCTGAAAATAGTTATTTAGACTTACAGATTCCACTGTTCAACTTTTTTTTTTTTTTTTTTTAAATCAAAACCAAAAAAATAGTGTTCAGAGCTGATCTCTCTTGAGACAGACGCTACCAGCTGAAGGTCCTAGCAGCCCTCAAAACAGAAAACTACTATGACATATTATATAATTGGACTTCATTTATATATTCCTTTCATCCTTGTTTTCCAGACTGTTTAATTAGTAGCTAAAGATCCACTGCCTCACAGATGAAAAGACAATCATTTATACAATAACTAAACATGGCACTGTGTTCCTCTGGATGTTATTAAAAGTTGACCCTCTTGTAAATTGAATGGGGTGATAAAGGTATATGGGCTAAACTATTTTCTGTTGTTTAATTCCTATTAACTTCAGTGCTGATTTTACACCAACTCTGGATATGACCAAACGTGTTTAAAACAAAACCTTAAAGTTCAACCATAAAAGCGCATTCTCTCAAACAAAACAGCATTTCATTTTGAACAAATGCACAAAACATTCTTTTATGTGGAACAAAAGAGAAACTTCAATTAACATGTTCAGAATTACAGGCATCAACAATTATAAGGAAGCTTAAAGCTGTTTACTCTACTTTTATCCCAAAAGGTATTCATTCCCCAGCAGCTTAGTTCTCACTGGTAACTAATTGTCCCACCTCAGGTTCAATAGAATGGCATCTTTTTAATTCATATGAGAAAAGAAATCACTTCTTCCTACTCCTAAGGTTTTTAAAAAGTATAATCTAATTATCCAGATTTACAGGGTAAGTTGGTCTATATGCTTCATTCAGTGTGAAAGAAACAAGCAAAAATGAAAAGCACGCAACCTTAAAATAAAGAAATAAGAAGGGGAACGTAAGCACATATCTGCAGTCACACACAGACTAAAATCAAAACTGATTTACTTTTCCTTTCCTCAGGGGATAGAATAAATAAATGATTCTTGTCCTGGATATTTTTCATGCAGTTGTTTGGAATCATTTGAACCTGTGAAGGTAGCTAAATATCTTTCAAAATCCAATTTAAATCATTATTTTCAATGACAGTTGATATCTACCTCAAGCATTTGTATATTGAGGGGCACAATAATAGCGACAGAAAAGCTAATATGAAGACTAATCAATCTAAAAACTTCAATAATTCTTCCTAAGATCACCTCAACAACAGTATCACCTGACAATAAGAGTTACTGAAACAACTACTACCGGAACATGCAGTAGCAAATCCACAATATAATCCCAGTCCAAAAATCAAGCCCAGGAGAAGAGAGGGATTGTAATTCATATACACATGATCTGATGTTGGCTACCACTGCAAAATGTTCAGTACTTTCTCAGCAAAGTTTATGGATCTGTTTGAAGTGCTACACTAGTACAGACAATTATTTTGGTTCACAAGCCATTTCATTTTGGCCTGTTATATATAGTACAAATATACTCTTAGTTCCCTAAAGTTTAATTTGCATTTCCAAGTAATTACGAAAGAGCATCGAAGATGAAGTTAGAATGTCATTTTTAAGCAGCATCTTTTTCCTTTAAACACGAAGGATGATTCTTTAAAAAAAAATATATATATATATATTCAGAGGAAGGAGGCAGAGTAGACTGTGAAAATATTTGACCATTTTTGAAGTGTTGACAGGTTATTTATTTATTTTAGTGAAAAACAGTTAAGCTTTTCTGACGAATTCCACCTGTTAGACAGTGAAGATTTTTCACTTGCTAGCATTTTGACAAATTGCAGTTTCAAGTCTATTAATTACAACAGTAAATTGAAAAAAAATAATATGTCTTTCATGGGAATAACCACATTTCATTACATATGTAAAACCAGCATTTTATAAAAATTAAATTGCAATGATATATCATGACATCTCAAAGTTTTTATTCATCTGAACAGTCACTAATTCTTATTAGCATTTGCTTTGATCTGTTTTGATCCTAACAGGAAACAAAGCAATCACTGGCAGAAGTTCCCCCAAATTAATTCCAGTGGGGATGGAAGTCAAGGCAGTCAACTGCTGTACCTGGTGACTAGACAAGAGACAAGCTTATGCCCATTTTTATGAATGGGAGAAAGGACAACCCAGGAACTACCTTACCTCTGTGGCAGGGAAGATCATGGAACAGATCTTCCTAAGAGCTACGCTAAGACATAAAAAGAGGAGCAGTAATACAGGATAACCAGCATGGCTTCATCAAGAGCAAGTCTTGCCTGACCAAAGTAGGGGCCTTCTATGATGGCACAACTGCATCAATGGACAAGCAACAAGCGAGTGATGTCATCAACTGGGACTTCATTAAGGCCTTTTCCAAGGGTCTCCTTGTTGGGTCTCCCCCAAACATCCTTCTCTCCAAATGGAAAAGATACAGATTTGATAGACTGTTTGATGATCAAGGAACTGGTGGCAAGATCATACTCAGAGACTGGTGGTCAATGGTTCAGTGTCTAGATAGAGATCAGTAACAGGTGACATCCCACAGGGGGTCAGCACTGGCACCAGTGCTCCTTAATATCTTCATCAACTATATTGTCAGTGTTCAAAAATGAGCTCTCAGCAACTCTGCAGATGACATCAAGCTGTGTGTTGTGGTCAAAACATGGGATATACAGTTTCTCAGAGTTTGTTGTGATAAGACAAGGGAAATGGTTTTAAGCAATAGACTGGAGATTTTTAGATTGAATATAAGGGAAAAGGTTATTACAATAACTGGAACAAGTTGCCCAGAAATGTACTGGAACAAGTTGCCCAGAAATGTACTGCAAGATCCATCCTTGTAGACAGTCAAAATGTTTGAGCTTTCCTGCCCTTTACAGGAAAGTTGGACTAAACGACAGTTAAAGATTCCTTCCGATTCAAACAATTCTATGATTTAATGATTTGCCATAGTGGCTATAATCTTGAGACTTAGATTACAAAATCAGCTGAAGCAGGAGTAATTCATCCAAGGGAAAGATGGCTTAGTTTTCGAGTCATTTTCCCAAATGTTCCACACAGCCAAGGCTGAAGCAACATCTCCAGTTACCACTTCTGTTTATGCAAGCTTTCTTCACCAAAGCACAGACTGGTCTGGATTTACTACCAAAACATGTCCCAGAGTATGACAGAAGAGTTGTCTGAATGCTCATGATATGATGGAATATCATACGATATGATAGAAGAGTTGCTTGAATGCCGAATGTGTTATTAAAGATGAAATTTAAGAATCTGTAGGCCAACTTTTCTGTGTCAAGAAATTCTCAGAAACACTTCAGTTTGAACAACAGCACCTATCCCCTACCCTGCAAGGTACTAAGGGCCATGAACTGCCTATTCTTCTACCTGTGCCACCTGCAGCTCTTGAGTCAGCCAGTACTCACAGTTGAAACAATGTTCTTTCTAGGCAAGGGTTAAAAAAAGCATCTCACCTGCGATTAATGCAGTTTCCTGATGTAGTACATGCAAACTTTTACTCCCTTTTTCCATGTGGTTTATGAACCAATTCTTTATTATGATATATACATGCAGGAATAAGATGACAAATTGAATAGGACATTCCTGCTGTGCCAAGCAAGTGACTGTACTAGTAGGACAGCTGGTTACCTTCATTTTATTTCTGTGAAAAGATTAGGAACAGTTCAAATATTCAAAGAATGGAAAAACGGTTCTTTTTCTTGGCTGAAAATTAATCCGCTTGTACGTTGCTGCAGTAACGTAGCTGAATGTACCACCTGGCCTGGTGTCTACAGCCCAGCACTGAGTTGTGAGGTGTAATAGTTCTGTACCTCTCTAGAAAAAAAAATAGACAAATTCCAGAGTTATGCTATAGTATTTAGCATTTAAGTAATTAAAGGTTAGTTACAAGTTGCCTGCCTTGGAAGACCTATCAGTGTCTTTCGTTGTTCAGTTATGTTATTATAAAACATACTAGAAAATTATTCTTACATAATACAAAGTAGTAAGAATATGAACACATACCATGCTACACATAAATACCCAGAGCACAACTGTTAGTATATGAAGGAAATCAGAATAAAAAGAGATGGTATATAGAAAAATAAAAATAAATGAGAATATGCAAAAAAGTATTTCTCAATTTCAAATTTTTACCTTCATTTTTTTATGGCTAAATCCCAGGGATATAACTGATATATTCAGCACCACTCAGAAAACTCATCTTTGTCTTCCCTAAAATGACAGTTGAGTATCAAATTAGTTTATTTTTATCATTTTTACTATTTTTAAATAATTGTTTAATCCTATGACAGTTCATTTTCTGATTCTAAATCTGAAAAAGAAAAAGTTCTAGTAGCTGTAGAAAACCAGGAAAACAAATATGAGGCAGTGAATTTCCTAATCTTCACATCAGTTGAAGAGAAATAAAACATTTTTTGTAGTAGCATTAATAACTGTTTCCTTTGAAGATAATAGCTGAAGGGGGAATCTCCCCTCCTTCCCTTCCCCTCACACCCCCTTCTTCTCTCCCATTTTCATCTGCTGAAACAAAAACACATGCTTTTATGCTGATCCAAACTGAATCCCAGCTGCTTGGAAACTCGGAACAGTTCCAAATTTTGCTCAGCTTCCCTAATTAAACTCGTTCAACCTAGAGAAGCATCCCGATGGAAAACAGTTGTGGCTTTACTCAAGGTTAACATTCTTTTAACTTCTTTCAGAGCCAGTTATCTTGTTCTACTGGCTTCCACATTTTTAGCAAGGTCTTACTAGCACTGATGGATTACTCCAGCAAAGTCTCTTCTGGTTAAAAGGTTTTGAAAGACACCCAAGGGGAGAAATAGCATTAAAGCAGAGATTTATCTATTTATTGCCAGGCAGAGACTCCCTCAGAAAGTATATCAAAGGTAGTTCACGCATTCTTACACATGACATAGGACAAATTTTTTTTTATGACACTTGAATCAAGACAAACACATTATCTAATATGATTTCTATTTTCCAATTATTAGGCAGTTGTCACTTCAGGATGCTTGCAGAAGAATGAAAAAGTTGAAATGTGTGTATGTTCCTTTAGGTACAACTATCCGAGGCAGAGCCTCTCTTCAGATTCTACTCAAGAAAAGTCTTAAATATCTATGGGAGAAACACTGCATTCTAACACAGAACAGTACTACTATAGAATGAAGAACAAAAATCAGAATAAACTCCCTGTAGCTGTTAAGCAAGACTTTAACTGTTATACAATTTATGTTTCTTAGTCTTAATAAAAATAGTGATGACTTGACAATCTGAAATATAGTGCATGCACCTAAACAGAGAACTTCTATAACTGTATCACTATCCAGACTTTGCAACAAAATATAACAACTACTAGATTTCATTTGATCAACAAAGCATTTCTCAGTAAGACTTTTGTTATGCAAATCAAACTCCGTGTGAAATCAGAAAATGTTTCCACTCATTTCAGTAAGAGATAGAATGGATCCTTTATTATGACTTTATCCTGTTATAGGTCTGTGAGCTCATATTGCACTGAAATAATCCATAACGCAGACAAAGAATAACAATAATTCACTTATTTTCTATAATTCTTAACGGTAATGCTCTTGAACGAAAACATAAACATGAAATACTTCTCCCCTCAGAGTTAATAATAAGAACTCTCTCTTGAAACTGGGCTGGAAGAACTCCAGACAGAAATCAAAGATATAGGTCTCCCATAGCTTACAAAGATCGTTAAAAATAGCATGCTGCCTGTAGCCAGTGTCATACAACTAACTGCTCTCAGTTCAATGAGCAGGTCAGTGGATGACGCAGGGACAGTCTGGTTTCTATAACAATGCAGCTTATCAGCACTGTCTGTCCCAGCTTCTACAGACAGGGCTGCTAAGCCTCGGAAAAAAAGCACATAAAATATTTCAAACCAACACTATTTTCATCCAGATGGAGACCTAAGTTTTCAAGTGTTCCATACACACATTTATTAAAACAAAAGAAAAAAGTTTTCTCCTTAGGAAGGGTGGTGATTTCAAAATGTAAAAAGCCTTCCGCTAAACAGCACGTTCATTTTCACCCTTTCTTGATGTTTACATAATAAGCAACTAAAGAAACAAATATAAAACCAGGATCAGTTTCACAGAGCTGTACAGATTGTCTTACTAGTCCTATTGATAATTTGAAGGAAGTTTTAGATACCTAGTGCACAGTGTCCAAAGTATTATGTGAATTAGAAAGAATGACCAAATGCAGACTATAGTAACTCCAAGCTGTCATGAATATCAATTCCTTATTCACTACAGGGGCTTGCAAATATCACAACAATCTCATCGAATTGACAGAAAAGCTCTGTTGAGACTATGCATACATTTCATTGTCATGATGAAATGAAACAGCACTTGTGATGGTCTACAGCGACCTGCTCTTACCTTGTATGAAAACTGCACCAAAATACTGGAATAAACTTTTATGTCAACTATTTACTTTAGCATCAAAACTAGTTTAAAATAATAGAAAAGTGTGGAAACCCACAAAATCAAAAACAACTCCACAGCTATTTGCTATAATTAAGATAAATTCTAAGCATTTTTAGCTCTTTAATTTGTCAAGATCAATTCCCATCTTATTAGTGATAGTAAACATTATTTGCTGTTCAGTATAAATAGAAAACTTTTGTCCGTAATGAACTAATAGTACTAATTTGTACACTACTTTTTTGCTCAGTTTCTAAACATGAGTTTAGACAAACAATTTCACATTATAATGCAATATTCTGATTTTCTTTTAATTCTTAAACCATTTGTCCATGCATGTTTATTTTAGGAGATAATTTCCTTCAACACTGATAATTACCCAAGTTTCTTACGTAGTTCTGTTAGGTAGGCAGGCATGTTCTGATTCTCACATTTGCAATAGCATTTTCATAAACAAGTCCTTCAGTATTGCAGTCCCACCATCAGCAGCAGCAGAAAAACAAATTCATCCATATTTGGGATTCCACATCTTTTCTCTTTCCTGCTGAAATATATATCATAGGATATGTCATGTGAGTTAATAAAACAACAGGTTTTTCTACAGCAATCAGATTTCTAAGGGCTTTACTCCTTACCTGTTAATGTGCACACCTATCAGAAAGACTGCTGCAGTTGACATGAATAGTCTCAGGAGAGACTGGATGATATTTCACATGAAGCAGCTCCAGGGATCTTGCAAGGAACTACAACAAAATAATTAGTTTTCTTCTGTTTTATGTTAGTCCTTTCTATGACAAACTAATGAAATACTTGAAACAAATGAAGTACTATCTTATCAACTTACATCTTACTTTTCAAAAAAAAGGAAGATTTTTCTGTTGTTAGAAACTTGTATATCAGATCCTATGCAAAATAATTGTATTTTCCAATGGGTTGGCTTTTTGGAGAAAAAAAATAAAGAAATAAAATGAAAAGAATTTTAAAATAATTTACAAACTAAACCCTAAAGCAGATGTAGTTCGCAAATATACTTGTTATAAAGTGACAAAGGAACTGCAGCCAAAATATTCAATTGAAATTCAATCACATACTGCAGGTTCTCTTGTCCTCATCAGTTTCTTCTATGAATTCACATCCACAGGTAGTAAAGCAGTTTACCTCTTAATAATAAGAATGAGGTGTAAAGGCACATGTTGCATTTCCTAACAGTTTTTAAATTCATTTAAAAAATGTAAATGCTAGCTCTGCAAAAAAAGGATACATGGAAATCAGGTCAGTTTTTGCAATTAAATCTATGACAGATATGTAAAGCAGCTGAAGCTTATTTGGGATGCTTTAAGGTTCTGGACTTTTTCCTTAGATATGTTTTTAAGAGAGATTTCCCAGGAGCATTTCCCAAAAATGACAAAATAATTTGAAGTATGGTATCATAAGATGTTTCAAGACAATATCACGTCACCATATGATGACACGATGAAAAAAAACAAAAACAAATACCTTAAAGAAGGAAAGTTAACATTACTCAACAAAAACATCAAATTTTTCAAGCAGATTTCTTGGAAATCATATGTATATCAGTCCGTATGGAGAAAGCTTACCTATGTCAAGCTCTCTGGAAATCTAGAAGTAAAAATGCTGGTGGCACTTTGTTCAGGCCAGTGAAGATCTCCTGAAATCTGATGCAGCAGAATTGCTCAGACCTGAGAAAAAAAGATCTACATAAAAATGTGGAAAGTAAGGAAAATTTGACAGTAAGTCTCAATTTAAAAAAATTATGATAAAATTAAATAAATAAATTCTTTATCCACTACCTTCAGTAAAAGCAAGTCAACAAGGCACCCACAGCTCTTCAATAAAGTTGTTAGATGTAAGAAAGAAGTTATGGCCTTTCCAGAATCAGGTACTGCAGTTCCGGGAAGAATTAAGAGATATATTCTGCAGTTACTGAATTTTCTTTCATCTTGTATGTCTTCATCTGTGCTCAGAACAAAAGAATTACTCAAAACACCAAGCGTAAACAGCTTTTCCTATATTTGTCCACAGCAACATCACCTGCAAAGACCATGGGAAGTGTGAAACTGTAAACTGACAAGGAAGAAATATACTTCAGAAAACTAGTATGAGATCTTTAAAAACTCATCATTTTCCAACTGCTGAACATTTTTAACACTGCCTGGACCATAGCTCTTAGAACAGCAGAACAAGTAAGTCTATTAGGAAGTATTCTGGATTTCAAGTGGCCTCAATTCACAAAGCAAGTTTTTAAACACAGACTATAGGTTAAGTACCTTTAGAACCCTAGGGAGTGGTTAACAGCTTGATCCCAGGGGTGGTGTGCAGGATCATAAATTCCTACTTTGTGTTTTTTGACTAAAACAATGATGACCAAGTCCTTAATAAGCAAGAAACATTCTGCATGTTTTTGCTGCTGTTTTGGTTTTGTTTGTTGTATGTATGTATAAACGCAATTTCGCAATTCAGCCGCAATTTTTCACAGCCATAAAATAAATATCCTGAAGAGTGTACCAATGGGAAAGTAAGGTACTGGGAGTTACTTGAATCCAATTAAGAATTATAATTACCAACCAAATTTAATAATATTTTTTATAATTGTTGTCTAGGTTTTAACCCCATAAACTACGGGGGTTAACTAGTGGACTGACAACTGGAGTAGGAGAAGACCTGTCAAACATCAGCATTTTATAGGAGCAATGATTTTAATGCCAGAAAGTTTTCTGGAAATTAGTGCCGGAGAGACACTTCTAATAAAATCAAAGCAAGTCCCAGTCCAATAAACTGTAATTTTTAGAGTTTAATGTACATTTTTTGCATATATTTTAGCAATTTATTCTGTTTCCCTGCATATAAAGTCTTCAGATATTAGCAGAAACAAAAATCTCAATGGCCCAATGCTCATGTGCCTTTCTACAAAGTAATTTAAAGGAACAGGACTTACAGCCCACTACACTGCAATTAATGTAATTTAATCTCCTTCTCTGGAGATATTCAAGACCTGTCTGGATGCTTTCCTTTGCAATCTACTATAGAGAACCAGCTTTAGCAGAGGGTTGGACTAGGTGATCCCTAGAGGTCCCTTCCAACTCTCACGATTCTGTGACTCTGCAAGAGAAAGACTTTTCTTAAAAGCTGTTCTTGTGTGTGTGCTTATGTTTACATTTGGCTTGGGGATAAGACTCAGCGGTCACAAAGCGTTAAAAATATGCACACTTTTCCAAGAAATAAATGTTTCCATCATGAAAGCATAAGTATTCATAGACTTTGTATTTGAAGCATTAGCACCTTTATGTACTTATTTTTAAAAAGATTGTTTTATTTAACATAACGTTATGCCTGAAGTTTGAGTGGATTTTTCTCCTCCAGCATTTAGAATGCATATATATTATATATATATAATATACAATTATTATTGAATATATAATATTCAATAATAGACGAACTTATAAAGACATCTGTTTATTAAAATAGGTTAGAGTCACAAAACCCTTAGAGTTGGAAGGGATCTCTGAAGGCCATCTAGTCCAACTCCCCTGCAGTGAACAGGGATATCCCCAGCTAGATCAGGTTGCCCACGGCCACATCCAAACTTACCTTGAAATAGCATATGAATAACATATGAAAACGTAATAACGAACTACAGTTTAATCAAGATAACAGACTGTTGCAGCAAGAAAGTTTATTATGGATAGCTCTGACAACCCGCTAATACTGTATCACTTATTTTAATCAGAAGATCTGAAAAACAGCCAGAACATACACACATAGTTAAATTCATCTTCTTTCTCTCATAAAGCAGATATTTTGTTGTTATTTCTCTTCTCATTTTTGTCAAAACAGAATAAGTGACTTATGCACATAATTCTCACTGAATCTCCAAGAACTTTTAATGCAGAAAGTTACCTGACGTTCAAGGAACAAATTGTTTTGTGAAATTCCTAACAATAGGACACAGTCTGATCCCTTTTGGAAGACCAGATGTTCAGTTCTTACTCTGAACAACATCAATATTCAGTGTTGTTAGTCTCACAATAAGTCTTACAGCAGTTACACTGTAGCTCAACACTGTGAAACAGTGAGAAAAAGTCTAAGTTCATAAATCCAGAGGTAAGGTAATCCATTTAGCTGTGGAAGATTCCTTGTCTGGACTAACTATATTCAGTTAGAATAAAGAATTGTCATTTGATTCTTCTTCATCATAGTCTGCTAAGACTACCAGGAAAACAATCTACAGTGAGTCTGTTTCCTTCCTCTGAATAATTTCAGCATGGGAATATTTCATGCTTTCAGAATCCAAAACATTTTTTTGGAGTAGAAAAATTTAAGTGCTTGCAAATTTGATGTGCTTTCACTTCATCCCCATTATTTATTTTAACTTCATCAATAATGATCGGAGCTATAATAGCAAAAATTGAGTTCTCAGCTACAAGTGCGCATGAAAAAGCACAGTTTGTTTGCTAGCAAAACAGCAACATTTTTAAAATCCATACTAGAAACAAGAAAGGGGGAAGGAAAATAATACTGGTTTCATAATAAAATGGATTTAAGTTAAATCCATAAGAAGCCTCATTTCTACTGACAATTTTTTGTACCATTTCAGAGATCAGGGCTGAATGCAAGTTTTTATGCAGGATTATTTGTAAAGCTGACAATGTCACAAAACTAGTCTACTCAGAACTGTTAGCATTAAAAATAAGCACTCCACAAACAAAACCAAGTACATAAGTCAATCCTCTGGCAAAAAAGCGACTTCCAAAATGCAGTAAAAGTAAGAAAAAATAGAACAACAACAAAAAAACAAAATAGAAGGAAATTGCTTATACGCAAAGAGAAACAACCACTGAAGCCCACACAGTTTTCAGCCACACTTTCATATACAGTTTTGCACACCATAAACACAGAGTGGCTTGAGTCAGAAGGGACCTCAAGGATCATCAAGTTCCAGCCCCCTTGCCACAGGCAGGCTTGCTAGCCACTAGATCAAGTACTAGATTAGATTGCCCAGGTCCCATCCAACTTCCAGAGATGGGACACCCACAACCTCTCTGCTCAGCCTCTTGCAGCACCTCACCACTCTCTCAGTAAAAAACATCCCACTAACATCTAATCTAGATCTCCCTTCTTTTAGTTTAAAACCATTCCTTTTTGTCCTATCACTATCTACTCATGTGAAAAGTCAATTTCCCTCATGTTTATAAACTCCCCTTAAATATTGGAAGGCCACAACGAGGTCTCCCTGCAGCCTTCTCCAGGCTGAACAATTCCAGTTCCTTCAGCCATTCATTCATAGGACAGGTGCTCCAGCTGCTAGATCATCTTCACAGCCCTCCTCTAGACTCTCTCCACACGTATATTCTTCAGACTACTGAAGACTACACATTATATTGCAAAATTAATTCATAGAATTATGAAGGTAGGAAAAGACTTCTAAGATCTAGAGCAACCATCAACCCATTACCTCCATGCCCACTACACCATGACCCTCAGTGCCACATCTTCATATTCTATTATCATCAAAGGAAAAAAAATATCTGATGTTTCCATGAATAGACAATACTTCAAGAAGAGTTCCATTGTTTTCACTAGCAAGTATCTTCAAGTCAGACAACACCAAATCATCAACTGCCACACTAAATCAGCAAGCATAAAGTTGATGAATACAAAGATGTTATAATTATGAAATAAACAAGAGATTTTGGCAAAGCAGTTTATAATAACAAAAAGAGAATAGATAGAGTGCTTACAAGCATCGCGGGCTTGGTGCAAAACTCCAGAGGAGAGATCTCCAGAAAAGATCCTTTCCCATTGGTAGTCAGCTCTTAAATGGGTCTAGAAGCCAGGCCTTCCAGCAGCACAGGTGAATTGCTCCCTTCAGGTAATCAATCAGAGGTTCAGGCCATGATTCAGCAGTTCCCATAATTAGTTTTTAGATTATTATTATACTGCAGTTCTTCAGTTATTAGAACAACAATAAAATATATGCCAGATGAAAAACATTTTGCCAATTAAGTGTGTGGTTTTGTCTCTATGCTAGCTGTATTGACAGCAAAAAAAGAGTAATAGCTTTTGTAAGGAGCAAGAAACAAGGGGCTGTTTCATAGCTAATGGTAACTGGAACTTTGTAGAAATAAAGTGGTATTTTCTAATGTGATCCTATCTTTAATTTATAGTATAGAACAAAGATACGCAGTATGCTTTGGCTACTGATATTGTTTTTCCTTCACAGGATGTGGGTCAAATACAGCATTTTTGGAAAATCACATTATTTTGGTGTACTACTCAGAGTTAAGTATTGAGTTTAGAAAATGAACTTGAGATACTTAATATTGAAAATGACAATTTATCGACCGTAGTGCAAACGTACAAAGAGAGTAATTTAATAGCCTTCTGGCCATTAAACATGCAGGAGGTCAAATTGCATGAATGGCTGCTCAGACCTTTAAGTAAACAAAATACATGAAACTCCCTGAAATGTTAACATCTTGCATGATATATATTTTCTTCTGAATTTACAAGATCCCAGAGGTATCAAGATGTACCTTCTTTCCTGGAATGAGTCTATACGTCACTGGAAGAACTCAAATGAACTTTGGGAACTCTGCAACTTTAGACTGACCATTTTAAGATAAGAGTCAAAGGAGTCCACTACCTGTTATCTGCAATAAATTGTGAATAGATTTATGGCATTGGCCTTATGAGAAATAATGGCACACTGGCAAATCAGTGACATGATTTTGCAAGGTGCTAAGGCTGTTGATCTGAGACCAAAAAAGCATTCCATTAGCTACAGAGCTTAAAGCTGAAGGTATTTTGTTAGGCAAGCAGTTACTTAAAAGCTAGATTTTCCTTAAGAGTTCTTGATTATACTCAAAGGTATTCACCTCCCATTAAACATCAAGGAAAAAAAAAAAAAAAGCATTTAAAAAGCTGAGCAGTAGATCTACTACCAAATTCTCTTGAAAAACATGAGTCTTCTTAAAAAGGCTGGATCACTGAAACTAAGGCAGGAGTTTAAAAAAAAAAAAAAAAAGATATAACAGCCTCTAAACAAAGATATAACAGCCTCTAAACTGTGTACTGATTTTATAAGTGCACTAGAGAAAGGAGAGGTTAGGATGTGAAATGACAAACAAAAATCATAACAACTTCTTAAAAAAGGACATGTACATTTTGGTGTTTCTCTCCAAAGAAAGTAGAAACAGAAGAAAAGAAAAGAAGGGCTACTTGGAAAGTAACTCTTGTTACTTTCCAGAGTAACAGGACCCTGCTCAGTCAGAATGCTCATGTACTGTAGATCCATATATCTAACTTCATTTTTCAAACCAAGTAAGTATTTCTAATATGGAGATATCTGAAGGCTTTTTTCTTTTTTTTCCCCACCTTAACAGAATTAACTTTGATAGGTCAAGTAAATATATAAATAATAAGTAATTATAACTTAAAAGGAAAAGAAAAGAAGAACGTTTTTAAAGTCAACTGTGAGCAAACTTCAACAACACAACTTTGCTATTTGAACCGCTTGCAATGAATGTCTAAATAGACAGGAAAAAAAAGCTCCCATAATTTTTCAGGTTTTTTGTGGTCCAGTATATTCCTATAGTACTGTTCTAGTTGTTTAAAGAAGTAAACCCAGATTACATATGCTGTAATGTTTAATCCCAAATCACGTCCATTTACAAATGAACCGAAGTAAATACATTTAGTGCTTCACATGAGCCAAAGCAGTGTCAAATCAATTTCGTCCCTTCTGGTTTCTGCCTTTGACTGCAGAATTATTACAAACTGCCTTGAGGCATACCTTTCCTTTTAATAACATGCAGAAAATACAAACCTTCAAGTGTAGTTACTATTCAGTACTACATAGTAAAAAAGAAGAAACACGTAGTTATTAAAATGTCAGACATGAAAACATGCACAAATCAGAAGAAAGCTCATAAATTCTGTGCATCAGCCAAAGTTTACAAATTCAGGATGAGTTCCAAGAGACAGAATATCTAAATGTCAAGGACCAACTGACAACCATCTGCAAGTATAAACAAGAACAACAATAACAAAGGAAATCAAGGATGTCATCTACAACATAGCACAACTCCAAGCATATCTCACAGCAGAGGCTCTGAATAGAAGAGGAGATTAATTGTGGACATGGTACTAAAAAGTAGTTCATTTGCCTGATAAGATTAAACAATTAAAACAGCTTAACTCTTTTAAAAAGGAGCATATTCAGCAAAGCTATTTGGACTGTATACAAATCACTAATCACATAAGGAATTTCTTACCTAAAGCAGCATTTTTGAGCAGTACAGACTGTACAGAATGTACAATCCATACATTGCCACATATAATGTGTGAAGGAATTAGCGTTTAAGCAAAGTCAGCCTGAATAGTTTTGAATGAATTATCACTATTCAAAAATAAATAAAACTGACAGAGTCTGACTCAAGGGCAGTGATGGAAACAATATTTGTCATAAGGGAAACGAAACATGCAATAATGAGTTTATGGGCTAAAAATTCACATCTACGAATGAGAACTAACCCAGTTGTTTACATTACCCCCAAAGATAATAATTATACATGAACATTAATGATCTCCCATAACATACCTCTTCATACTAGATTTCATCTATCTGAACCAACATACACCATTTATTATTTTCAGTAGATACACAAAATTCATTATTTTATAGAGGCAGCCACTTATTCATACCTTATTCATATACAGAATAATGAATATTCAAGTGTTTTTTTTAGCTTTCTCCATTTCTTCTGTGTTTTAGGCCAATACCAGTGCATTGTGCAGTACCCACAAATACCAATACTCTTACGTATATAAAAAACATTTATGACTGTAGGGGGCCATCTAATAAATAAATAAAAATAAATAACTTCTACAATTTCTCCTGATGTATTCACTTATTTTAATGGATGACTTGTGGAGTAGACTCTTCCTCTTAAAAACTCTTCCTGTTGTATCTTAGAGAATACTACAGATAAATGATGGCCTGATGACAGGGCTAAAGAAAGAAAAGTGTATGAAATATAGTGATGATAAAAGTCAGTACTTTTGGCTCACCTGGTTATTGATTATTGATGCTCATTATCAGTAAGTTACTTAGTACAGAAAACTTTTATTCATTTTCTACTATTTTATTACCTAAAAATGTTGTAATTGTAATTGGGTAAAAAAGATCTGGATATGACAGTTGTTGTACGACTGAGATCTTCCCCAGTATCTGAGCAAGAAGCAAGGAAAAAAAGGTTGTAGTACAAATACTGCACAAGTCTTCATTATTTTGATGATAAACTTGATCAATAAGAGACAATTTTTCTGCAAGCACTGTGAGACTGTCCCTTCCAACTCTGGCCATTCTGTGAATCTGTGAGATTTCCCCAAATATCACTATAAACTGAATAGTAAAAATCATTTTTCTTTCAAAGCATCACAAAAATTCTTATTTCTCAATGGTTAATAAACTGCATGGTAAAGTGATTATGATTTTTTTTTCTAATTTTTTTCAAGTATAATAATTGTGCATTTATAACCATATGGAAGAAAAAAAAACACATGTGGTTAGAATTCCACTCTTAATAAAGTTGTCAGCCTGTCTTTCAAAGGTCACATCAGCAGTAAGAAACACCAGACAGCAGAGAAAGCCATTGCACATATCAGCCATCTTGTCAAAATAATGACAAAATCACAATATGTCTGTATTGTTGTAACTATTACTCCTTATTAGTATTACTGAATGTTTTTAAGTTCAGCCAGTCACCATCCCATTTTCTTCCTTGCTACATTTTCATAGATGCAACTGAGAAAAAGCAAACCTTCACCTCCATTTAATATTTTTCTGTGTCTTAGCAGACAGATCAGCTGTTATGCACAAGCTGCCTTTAAAACATAAAAATAACTGCACAGAGTAGATTCAAACCCAGTACAGTTATGTTAGTCTAAAGCGGCAGGCACCACAGCTTTAAGACTACTAAAGCTGTTCCAATAGTCAGAAAAACTATCAAAACAGAACATCCTCTTGTTACACTTGGTGTTACAGCTGGAAAGATTATTGAGGTGAAAATAGGAAAACAAACAGGAAACAAACAGCTCATCTGTAACCAAAGATCCACGTTTGCAAGAAAGACTCCACAGAGGAGAAATCTCCAGAAGGAGATCCTCCCCCAGTGGCAGTCAGCCCTTAAATGGAGTCTAAGGGAGGTGCAGCCAGGCTCCATCCCTTCTGTCCACACAGCTGAATTGCCTTCACCTGTGCTCCCATGGCTGACAGTTAGAAAGGATGGAAGTCATATTACTCAGATTAAATGAGCAGAAGAGAAAAAAATGAAAAATAATGAAGTGCAAATTTAGGCTGTATTTCACAAGCATCTTTTCCCAAACTAAGACATACTGAAATATCTAATATCAACTCAGTTTGATAATCTAGTGTTGCTTTATTTGCCTGTGAGATAAGAGCATAAATAAGTTAAATGAGTGTTTCTGAATTATTTTTATTAACACAGAGTTCAGCGGTTACTTGAAGCTTTCACACACTTCTCCACACATAAATGAGTATGCATACACATACAAAGAGACAGTTAAGTAAACTCCAAATAGATAACTGTAATTGTGATTTTAATTACAGAAGACTCAGTGCTTCCATCAGCTTCTAAAGACTTTAGTTTCCAGAAATTTTAAGAGTCACCTAGACTGAGAATTGTCAAAGGAACATATTGGGCAATCTATACCACTTATTTGCTCTAACATGTATTTCCCCATAAAACATTAAATTATACAAAGATAAATGCCATTATGAAGCTTCTTCGTGTTCTCTATATTTCGTGTCTGCTTTCTTTTCCACCCTCTCTCCA